CCCTGATCCCCATTTTCCAGTGCTGCACAGCATGTTATTATGCAAAATAATAGACTTCTCTGCATTCATAGTACTTTCGATGAACTTAGCTTTCCAACACCATTCCACAGCATACAGACCCAGAGTAAAACGCTGTCCCACCATGCTGCACTGTTGGATCGACATGCCTCATTTCAAATGAAGTATTTTAAGTTTTCTTCAAACATATTTGTGACCATAAGATCCGAAACCTCGAAGATTAAAGTAAGATCAAGATGTAAGGTCTGATGGCGGCAAAAATGCATGGAGAAAACCTAACACTCAATTTGAAAATAAGACATATCAGCTCAACAGTGGAAATTGATGACGGGAGCGTTTTAGTTAGTTTGAGGCTAAATGATGTGGAATGGTGTTGGATATCTAAGCTTCATCAAGGCATTATGAATGCAGACAAGTATGCCAACTTTTGCCCCAAAACATGGACACCAGCGCTGAGAAAATTGGGGATCAAGGAAACATTTATGTTTCAACACACCGTTACTAAAACAAAGGAATATTTACTTTACATTGTTTTTGCACAATCCGCCAATCCCGAATATCAATCCCATTAAACATGTTCGGTTCTTGCTGGACCTGAAGGCCCGAAAAAATAAAATTTCTGCCGAACTACAGCTGCAGAAATGGGACCAGATTAGATCAGAATTAGCTCAAAAATTATATGCCATGAAGTCTTCAGGTCATGAATGATGCAAATCCTATGATGACAAAGTACTAGCAGCTGTCAATAAATTTACTTGTCTATTTTTGAGTGCTTTGAGTTCTATAATTCCTATTATTATTCTATTGTTTCTAATTTGCTTGAACTATTGCCATCAAAAATTACTGTTTGGAAGTTAGCTTTCACATAAATGTAGTGACAAAAAAATACCTTTTCGTTATTGAAATTGAAGAAAAAATGGAGTATACTGTCTGTTCTAAAATACTTAAACTCAAAAATCTCATAGATGCAATCAATTTTAATTCAGTCATTTTCAGGGCCGAAAACCCACCCTGGTCCTTGGAAGTTTGATATGGGATAAGGAAAATAATGAAATAAGGGAGCCTTGAAGTAGATGATTATGCGAGGTAACAAGGAGGCCTCAGATTAAAAAGACCGCCTACTTCGTTGAGAAAGATCTGAAAGATATGTCAAGAATGACTATGCCTTTGGTTTTTAGACAATTTGTATAGAATTTTGAAATCATAGGACTGATCGAAAAATCTACTGAGAACATTTTAAGACAACTCTATGCACGTATTTTGCAAAAGTGATGTACCCCAACAATTCTTAAATCATATAAGCAAAGCTTCTTGTCAAAACATATCTGACATGCATAACGTATCATTTTGTTATTAACCCTTAAACGCCGATTCGGGGTCCCGCTAGGACCCCAAGTGACAATTTTATCTGATATCCTTATTATTTGAACACATTGGCAACGTTGCTTCTAGGTATGTGTTGGTAAATGCTTGACCAAAAATATTTCAGTATGCTGCGGCGAATCGTAGTGATCGTGTCTAGTAAGTGGGGTCCCTCTGCGACCCCGGTTCGGCATTAAGCGGTACCAAAGATTTGCGACAATAAATGTATATTTTTCAGATATTTCGCTTAAAATGAACCGTTGGGAGCAAACTAGGCCACTTACACAGAAAGAACTGGAAGAAATAATCAACGAAACTGATTTTGATGCTGAAATTGGGTGTGGAAGCGATGAAGAATCGGGCAATGAGGAGGATCAAGATGTGATGGTGGAGAATGTGTCGGAAACGGAGGACCACCTAGAAATACACAGTGAAGTGGAGTCAGACGAAGAATATACCGAATCTCAAGAAGCCGCGGGTGCCACATATACTGCTAAATCAGGTCTTCAATGGAATAGTAAACCTTTTGTTAGAACTAGACGACTACAAAAAATATTATAGATGCACGTCCAGGAGTTACAAATTACAGTAAAGGAGCTAACACATTTTTAGATATTTTTAACTTATTTTTGACAAAGGAAATGAAAGAAATTATTTGTCGTTACACCAATGAAGAAGCTACAAGATATTTTGATGAGTGGAATATCAAAAATCCAAATCGTCAAAAAAAATGGTCGATTCTTGAAGAAGATGAACTTGACAGCTTCTTAGGAGTACTCCTAAAAGCAGGTGCACTAAGGTGTAGAAAGGAATCAACACGATTTGAGCAGATATCAATTTTTTTACGCTTTGACAACAAATCAACCAGAGCAGAGAGAAAGGAACACGACAAATTAGCAGCAATAAGAGATATTTGGGATATGTTTGTTGACAATTGCAAGAAGGCATTTGAGCCATACGAACATGTCACGGTTGATGAACAGTTAGTTTGTTTCCGTGGAAAATGCCCATTTAGGCAATACATAAAGTCAAAGCCTGGACGACACGGTATAAAAATTTGGGCAGCTGCTGATGTTAAAACATCATATTTATGCAATCTTCAGGTATACAGGGTGACAGGAAATTAGTGGCGGAGCGTAAGGGGTGATAGTATAGGGTAATTAGAGCCGATATTACTATGAGACCTACTATCCCACAGTAACCCATTCCAAGATATTCGTACTTGAAGAATTTTACCAAAAAGTTCTACTTACAATTTTAAAATAGGTATACATCTTAAAAAATGGCTTTTCGGTCAATTTTTTTTTTGGTTTTACAACAAAGATATTCTGAATAAGGAATACTAATAGTTTAATCCTGGTAATTGTCGTAATTTTCTGCGATAATTGCTAAATAAAAACTAAAATGAAAAAAAAACACGGTGACGGCTGCTAAAACGTGGATTTACTCAAAAAAGTCACCTATAATTTTTACGTACAAAATAATGAAAAAACATTACGTTTTGTTGCCTTTCGAATGAGCTATTAAAATCCAAAATCGGTTTAGAAACGATGAAGATATGATCAATGGAAAAACCCATAGAGCCTACCGAGAACAAAAAAGGACGCGGTCGTTGGACAGTCGAGCTAATCCCTTCCTCCTTTCAGTCCGCTCTTACGGTTTACTGTGTTCGGATGTGCTCGCTTGCTCTCAGATTTGATATTTTCACGACTTTGATTTTTCCTTACGATTTGGCTGCTGAGTGACTGAGTGTGGTCTAGCTGACTAATAATGGCTGTTAGAGAAAGAAGACGATCGTTCAGTATTGACGAATACGCCGATATTATTTTTTATTACGGAGCTGCCAGAGGAAACGGAGAACAAGCTCGTCGAGAATATGCCGAAATATTCCCTTATCGTCGATTGCCTGATGCACGCGTATTCTCCCGAACATTCCGTCGAGTGCGAGAGCGAGGAACCGTCCAAAGATACCAAGGTAAGGAACAGCCATTATTATTATTATTTTGTTTACACAAAATTCTTTATCAAATCCGTTTCAAACTAAATAAAACTAAACCTTTCCTATCAGTTTTTTGTTATCCTTGCACGTACCCTTTTAATTGTGGGATTGCAAAACAAATGTCGCCATACAACTTACTAAAGTTAAACCCATAAATTATCGGTCGATAGGCTAGCTTTTTTCATAAGATAAACACCGATACGTCATTGGTGCCTCACTACCTGCCGTAAGGCCCGTAAGTGCGACAGACAACCCAACAGAGGGCGTCCTGTTTCCACATTTTATTACCACGCGGACAGCGAGTCTTTGATGCTATAATTGCTTTTAGTTTGACTACTATTAACGGCTACGTAATTAGCACCATAAATATCAACAAAAGACATTGTACTAAAACTTATAAAAACAAATCTTTTTTGTTTTCAGGTGACGCAGGTAGACCTCGACTGTATGCCGCGGGAGACGAAGAGGAAATTTTAAATTACTTCGCAAGGGACTCTACTCTATCTACACGAATGGTAGCTCGGCTTATGGGACTCTCCCAATGGAAGGTGTGGTACCTTCTTCATGAAAGTGGGCTCCACCCTTACCATTACACACCTGTTCAGGTAATAGAAGAAGGGGATCCTTTGAGACGAATCCAGTTTTGCAGATTTTTAATCAATGCGGATGTTGAAGATAGGAATTATCTGAGAACGATCTTATGGACTGATGAGTCCAAGTTTGATAAGGACGGTATTACCAATTACCATAATGTTCACTACTGGAGAGAACGTGTCATGGGTAATCCACACCTAAAAAGACCAAAAGGTTCACAAAGAAGATTTAACCTTAATGTGTGGATGGGAATAATCAATAACCGTTTGATTGGACCTCATTTCCTGCCTCAAAACCTTAATGGGGAAGCATATGAAGATTTTCTCAGGAATGTTTTGCATGAATTGTTGGAAGACGTGCCGCTACAAACAAGACAACACATGACCTTCATGCATGATGGCTGTCCAGCGCATTTCAGGCTAGCTGTGAGAAATTGGCTTGACGAACACTTCCCCAACCGCTGGATAGGTAGAGGTGGTCCAATACCATGGCCGGCACGTAGTCCCGACATCACACCCATGGACTTCTTCGTGTGGGGTCGAATGAAAAGTATCGTGTATGGTACTGATGTCCCTGTACCTAATATTGAAGACCTGCGCAACAGAATCATTCACGCAGCGCAGGAAATACAAACGGAGCTTCGAGATTCAAGGGTTGTGAAAACGGGTGTCCTGAGAAGAGCACGAATTTGTATTAGAAATAGGGGTGGGCATTTTGAAAACGCATTATGAATAAGAATGTTTTTTGTAATAAATTGATTTTTCAGCATTCAGCTTTTTTCTTTCATTTTTATTATTCGTCTATCTTGATGGTCCCTGAACCGATTTTAGATTTTAATACCGTATTCGACAGGCAACGAAAGGTAGATGTTTTTTAATTATTTTGTACGTAACAATTATAGGTTACTTTTTTGAGTAAATCCACGTTTTAGAAGCCGTCACCGTGTTTTTTTTTCATTTTAGTTTTTATTTAGCAATTATCGCAGAAAATTACGACAATTACCAGGATTAAACTATTAGTATTCCTTATTCAGAATATCTTTGTTGTAAAACAAAAAAAAAATTGGCCGAAAAGCCATTTTTTAAGATGTATACCTATTTTAAAATTTTAAGTAGAACTTTTTGGTAAAATTCTTCAAGTACGAATATCTTGGAATGGGTTACTGTGGGATAGTAGGTCTCATAGTAATATCGGCTCTAATTACCCTATACTATCACCCCTTACCGGCTCCGCCACTAATTTCCTGTCACCCTGTATACGGGAAAACCTCGCGGTGGTGTACCAGAAAAAAATCAAGGTTTCCGTGTAGTATCAGATTTGGTAGAACCGTATCACAACAGTTGGCGAGGAATAACTACAGATAATTTTTTTACAAGTGTTCCCCTCGCCAACTATTTGTTGACCAAAAAACTCACATTACTGGGAACTGTTAGAAAGAACAAGCCTGATACACCAGTCCTGCTAAACATAAAATCGAGACCAGTAGAATCGTCCATATTTTTATTCACTAAAGATCTTACAATGGTCTCATATGTTCCTAAAAAAAATGGAATGGTACATTTATTATCAAGCCAACATGATGACGATAAAGTATGTGCAGACTTACAAAATAAGCCAAATATGATCATAGATTACAATGCGAGTAAGGGGGGCGTTGACCATGCAGATCAACTTATTAGAGAGTATTCATGCAGCAGAAGAACAGCTCGATGGCCGTATAGATTATTTATGAACGTGATAGATATTTGTGCTTCAAATGCTTTCATTTTATACAATGAAAAAAATCCTGATTGGCAGAAAAATAATTACTCGAGACGACGATTATTTCTTTTACAATTGGGAGATGATCTCGCTCGGAACAATATGGTGAAAAGATCCCACTACAAAAATCATAAGGACCGTGTAAAAACGGCTCTACGAGACTGCGGAGTAGTAATGGAAGACCAACATATTCCTAAACCACAAGCTCCTGCTACAAAACGGGCCAGATGTTATGAATGCACTCGAAAAGATGACAGGAAAGTAAACATAACTTGCGCTGTTTGTAGTAAATTTGTTTGTGAACTTCATAGAAAAAAGGAGCAAACTTATGTATGTACCAAATGTTTCTCAACGTGAAATGTTCCGAAGGGTAATTTATGTTTGTTACATAATATGTTTATTATTTAAAATGTGGTTTTTTTGTCGTGGAAATATATACATATAACAGTATATTTTGTTATATTTGAAAAAATAAATGTTTCAGTTTACATCACTTTTTTCTAATTATATCTGTATTGTTTTTATTACCATTGAATATTTAGTTCAAAATAACTTAAAAAGCTTAAATTTTTCTTAAATACATTTGAAAAATTACAGAAACTTATGTTTTTGGTTGGGGTCCCTGATGGACCCCGTACCGGCATGTAGGTTGATGTTATGTGCATAGGCATTTAAGGGTTAAAATTGATATTCTATATCCACAAAAACGTGCATGAATATTGTATGGATATTCTGACAAAAATATTTACAAGCTACATAAAGGTCAGAGGATAGATTCAATACAAATATATCGATCTACCCACTGTGTATTATGAAGCAGCATAAATAACTTCCCGTAAATATATTGGGCCTTTCCAGTTGCTTAGCACGAAAACGCTATTTGTATGATGTGACAAGAAGCAAACTCTAACCTCATTTACGTCGCGAAAATAGACAATAGATATTCAAATTTCCTAAATAGAAAAAATCCGTCTATAGGCACTTCAAAGGAACGTGGCATATGATAATATTACTAGAAAAATACTGCGGCTTATCCAGGAATGTTGCATATATGTTGTTTAGTTATTCTAGTATCACATTTCTTTATCAGACTATACCACATTAGGTTCTGCAGCATCTTGACGAACGTAGAAAAACCCAGCTACACTCGATCTTATTCCAGGAGCGTCTTTCAACGGCCTAGTACTGATGCGAGTCATAACGTCATCATTGAACTCGATCCAGTCGTCTCTGAAGCAAGTGAAAAACGACGTTAAGTTGATTGCCTCGGTACTTCCCTATTTTTTAAACACGGGACAAAAATTCGAGAAGTGATTCTTAAGACTACTCTAAGGGCCGAATCGTCCATCGTTCCTACAATATTGCAGGACGCCTTTATGGCCTCTTTGACTTTCGTAGTTTTTCCTGTCCTTCGGAAACGCAGGGTATTTCCAGATTTCTACTGTTTTGTGTCAGCGCTCTATTTCAGGTTATATTTCCTTTTTGAATTCTAAGAAATTTCAGGCTGATAGAACTTGATTTTCATCATCTGTTTTATAAATCTGAAATTTCTTAAGATTCAAGAAGAAAACATATTTTCACAATAGCTAACATAGAACAGTAGAATTCTGAAAAAGAGAAAAGACTATGACCATCAAGGAGGCCATAAAGGCATCCTACAATTGTAGGAACAACTGAAGATAGGGCCCTCAGACTGCTATGTCCCTTGACGATTTCGAAGATACATGACCCTGAACGACGCCAATGGAAATCGGTCTGTCTTATGGCCAAGTTCGCAGGGAACAGGGTCTATCAAATCCATACCTTAAAATGTTCCTTAAATAACTTGAACAACACCATGTTTCCGAACCATTTGTTAAAGCACAGCGTTGCCAGATGGGTCCGACAGAATTTCCCCAGAACAAGCACAAAAATCCCCCAGAATTACAACTTTTTCAAAAGTAAAAATCCCTCAAATCACAGTTACTTAATGGAAAGGGGAAGGTTTGGTTCAAAGAACGGGTAATTCTTTCTAACTTAATTTTTAAGAACAATACTTTATAGTAGAACAGATTAAAGGAGAGTTGTCTGGCAAAGGCCACCCTGCTGTAATCTAGCTGTACTATAAAAATCACCGAGAACGCTGCAACGTCACATATAAGGTCACAGCAATTCAACGTAATTTTAGAAGCTGTGGTAGTACCACATGCTGTGGTTTTTTTGATCTTACCTTATATCGTCAAGTAAAACAGTGGCAATATAATGGCCTTGAGATAGAGTTCCGCTATGCTGGACTACAGCGTAGAGTTTATACACCGAGCTTCCAAATTGTAGCTTGTCCGGAAAACTGACAAGACCAGGATGCTTCATTACTTCATCTTTAGAAATTAGGATTCTGTAACAATACCTGTATTTCAGTGAAGGCATTTTGTGGTATAAATTGTAATGATAGACTAAATGCTATTTAAAAATATTTTGTCCCTTGCACAGAGTACATTATAGCTTGAAACTTGAAACATTGATTTATGGTCATTATTTTTTTCATAAAAATATTCGCCTAGAGACAGCTCTGAGCTATATCTGATGAGTGATGATTATTCTGTGAGATACAATTATTTTGTTCTGTTCTGTCTATTAAATATCCGAACCGCTTGAAAACTTAGCAAGTACGCAAAAGGGGCTCGTACAAAAGATTCGAAAGACAAAAGAGGAATTTATTGGCGACTTCTAGATTGACCTAGATAATGACCTTAGAGGTTATTTAGAGGTCAACTTAGCAAATTCAAATAGCAGTCACCATTTTTGACAAACGATTCACGATCAGTACGAGATTCTACATATACAGACAAGCTGAAACATCTGAAAACTGTATAAACACTATGGAAACTTGGCACCACGCATTTGCCGAAAACAGGCTCCTATAAGAGATTTATAAAATCAAATCACCTCTAGGATGAGCTAGACAATGACCTCGGAGCTCATTTGGAGGTCAGCTTCGTAAATTTAAGCAATCACCACTATTTCTGACAGCAGATACGTGATCAGCACAAGTGGACAAATCAGCAGTTCAATCCGCCACCAAAGATTAAAGCTATTTGAATTCACAAACTTGACTTCCAAATTACTTCTGAGGTCTAAGTCACATCCCTTTTTTTTTGACTTCCTGAAGCTTTAGCGTAAACCCTTTAAAAAATCCGTTTTAGACTAGTTTCCGGTACATTGGTGATCTTTTCAGGACTGCCGAATTGACCACTTTTGATTGCGTGACGAATATGAACACCAAAAATGGTAGATGATATCCGACTTTACGAGGTTGAACGCTAAATGACATCTGTGGTCATATTAAAGGTCATCGGTATATTGTTTTTTTGGCCTCCTGAAACTGTTGCGAAAATATTTTTTCGAAAAAAAAAAGTTTCTTTTTTGACACCGACGGAGCCGCGCAGGCAGAAGCCTAAATGCCAGGGCAATGCGGGTGCTACAAGGATCCCAAAGAAACTGTTAATCCGATTTTTGAGCTGCCTAAGGTTCGTAGAACTGGGAAAAGCCTCCTCTTATAGATTGTTCCACAATCTCGACACCCTGCGTACAAAGGAGCGCTCGTATAGGTCAGTTCTGGATGTACGAAGTTCGACATGGGATGGGAGGCCGAAGTCAGGCTGGTCTGTTTGGCATGCATCATGGAGGAGAGCAAAGACAGTTGGTGTAGCGGTAGAAGAGAGCTAGATCGCCGTCGGCCCGCCAGTGCCAAAGGGTCCTGAGACTGTCTGTTAATGATCAGTAATTGATCAGTCGGACGGCCCTCCTCTGGATAACATCGAGCATGGATAATGTCCGGGCGGCAGCACTTCAAACGTGTGAGCAGTACTCGAGGCTAGGTCTTACCTGGGCCTTGTATAGAGTGAGGAGGTCATCCGGAGAAAAGAACCTTTTAGACCTAGCTTTTTCCCAGCAGCTGCCACTATTGACGAGATATGTTCGTGTCATATCAAGTCCTCGAAGATCTGGACTCTGACCAGAAATGAACGGTTCTTTGGCAGAACTCGGCCATCCATCGAAACCGTCCAGGTACAGTACTGTGTTTTGGAAGCATCAAACTGTACGATTGTTGCGTCCCAAAGCAGTGATAACCTTCAGGTCTATAGTCAGAGAGGAACTCGCTGCTAGTCTTCTTTTTTCCAGCAAGGGTGGTTACTACTTGAATTTGAGCAGTTAACCTCCTATTATTTAGGTCAGGGCTGTCCAACTTAATGTGACCCAAGGGCCACTTCAAAAAAAAATGCAGTTTGGAGGGCCGCATTATAAAATCTTTCTATACAGCATTATTACTGAGTTTGTAAGAATTGTGTTGGACAGCCCTGATTTAGGTCATATTAGAGGTCACTGATATAATCCTTTTTTAATCTCATAAAACCTTTGCTAGACTCTTTTTTCGAAATAATGCACGGTTCTCAAATTTTTGGGATGCTCATATATTCAATAGGAGGAACTAAAGATAAGACGACTGCATACTTTTAAAAATCCGCAGTATAATCCTTACCTTTTCAGACATATAATCAACGTGTCTGGATCTACGATGACATATCTCTTGTTCACGACTGCACCAATGTTCTTGCATATCTCGCACTGATAGTCTTTTTCAGTGGTTTCGGCCAGATAATCCTTGATCAAATCTTCTAATTCACAGGGTTCTAAGTTCTGCCGCATGGCAAGATTTAGGATACCCTCTGTTTCGAATGAACAGATCTTCTTTTTGCAATGAGTGCAAATTTTCTCATCCCTAAGTTGATAGTACGTTCTATCCACCAAAAAGCTCGATCGCCCTTGTAGAGCGCTATACCAAGCTTGTTCACTATCCGTCATAACCTAAATGAAAAGTATCGTTATTTCATCGAAAAATTAAAAACCTGTGGTTTCAATGTTACTAAACTTCTTCAAGTGACATCCACTTATGAAGATTGATCCATGTCCTGGCTATCCTCATTACAAATGATCTCAGTACTCCATTTTAACAAAATACTAAGTTTATATGTCAAACTGGTCTGAAATTATGTGCTTTTTGATTCATGTGGGACAAGAATTTTGATAGAAATGGATCCTCTTGAGCAGAGAAGCAGAATTATCTGCAGAAAAAATGGCGTCACGTAGGTTAACTCAAAAAAAACTTAAGTTACAAACATGTACAATTGAAAAATTAAGCCGATGAGGTCAAGCAAATAGGCCCACACAATTGGTCTATAGACATTCCTTACCTGGTCCCTGGTTCCCATATCGTCAGACCGCAGTACGAGCAGAATAATCAAGCAGACCGTCACGTCGGGCGCTGAGCCCAGGTCGCAGAAGGAGACTCGTATGTGATAGGTGCGTAGAGTTACCGGGGTTGGGAACGTATACGAGGCTTGTTCAATAAGTACCCATGTTTGACGGCAGAGGGCGTCATCGTGTGCTGTCATCTATCAAACGACGGCACAACAAATTTCAGACTGATTGATACGTTGGTTTGGATTTGGCGGCCATTCGAGTAACACGTGTTTCGTGATTTTCGCCAAGATGGAAAAAGAGCAGTATCGTGCAGAAATTTTTTTGGATGGGAGCTACTGAGCGGGGCCATGGCAAATGCTTGTTCCGGAAATTGTTGTATCCAGTATACAACTTCTTCCCGTTCAAGTGATTGTACATGCGTTAAGAAACACCCCAGTACCGATTGCCGGGTGGCGGTACAAGTCCGCCAACGGGCCACTTTAGGTCTATTTAATATCATTAACACGCAAAAAGAAGGTGGTAGACAAGGACTAGTCGACCGAGGCGGTACCACCCGCTAGCTTGTCCCAGGGTGTCTTATAAATGACCACATGTTTCCACACCTAAGCTATGATTATATTAATGATGATGGATCCCTCGAGCACTAAGAACTCCGGACTTAAGCTCACTCCACTCTCGGAATGTCCGGGTGGAGGGTGGGCTCGAGGGAACAACATCGAAGATAACATTTGTTTTTCGAACATCTGTGGGATTAACAGCAACATTGATGCTGTTCATCACTACCTCCAATCCGTGCTTTTCTTGGCGGAGACAAAAATCTCAGAGTCTGCACTGATTAACCATCTTAACTTCCCAAATTACGAGGTGCACTCCAATCTGAGAAAGAACGGGGGAGTTGTGACTTTTGTCCGCAGCAGTCTTTCCTGCTCCAGAGATGTTTCATTGGAATCAGACCGGAAGGACATTCTGTGGCTTCGCCTCAACTCCAAAACGTCACCCAAATTCATCTGCTCTCCATCGGACTATAACTGGGATGACCTACTCGAATACCTCGCCGTCCAGATCGACTTCCTGAACATGAATCACGCCGCTTCAGAGGTAGTTATTCTCGGTGATTTCAATGCCCATAATGAGCTTTGGTTGGGATCAAACAAGACCGATGCAGCAGGTCGTTCAGTCGAAGCGTTCGCTCTTACTCAAGGGCTCATACATTGGGCTCAGACCACGGTGTTGTGGAGGTTAGGTTTCGGTCAGAACCTGCTGTGGCAGCAGAAACTCGTACAGGCCGCAAAACTTGGCATTACGGACATGCCGACTGGGAGGGGCTCAGAGAATTCTTCTCTAGCTTTCCTTGGAGAGATGTTTGTCTCACTGACGCGGATGCGTCAGCTGTCTATTCTTCGATAACCGAAATTATCCACGTCGGAATGGAGGAATACATCCCTCACACAGTGAAAGTGTCTAAGTCAGGGTCCAACGGCTGGTTTAACAAATCGTGTGACCGTGCTCGCCAGCAGAAGATCAAGGCACACAGAACATTCTTACAAAACCCCACTGTAGAGAACAGACAAGCCGACGTTGAGTCCAGAAACAAATATAACGAAGCGGTGCGCAATGTCATAACCAGCACGATATAAAAGTTAGGCACAGGGTAATGTCGCAGCGCAATGGCAGTCGGTCTTTCTGGACGCTGGCCCAGCAAATTGAAAAGAACTTCTCACACAGTAGCCTTCCACCCCGTACGTGTCATTATGGAACTATTGTATTCGACTCAAAGGCCTAGGCGGAAGTGCTAGCCAAGATCTTTGCTAACAACTCGACCATGGACGCCCCCCCCCCCCAACGCTCAAGTGCCGTCTATTCAAAGGGTTCGCTACACTATGCGGGAGGTAACATTCAGGCATAAGACCGCAAGACGACGAGTGCTCTTGTCGCTCGACATCAACAAAGCTTCCGGTCCGGACTTGATTCCTGCCATTGTACTGAAGAGGTGTGCAGCGGAGCTTGCTCCAGTTCTTTCGCCTCTCTTCCAGCTATCTTATGAATCCGGCACCTTCCCAGAAAACTGAAAATTTGCTCATGTCCAACCCATCCCAAAAAAAGGATCTAAGGCCGACCCTTACAACTACAGGCCTATAGCTCTGCTTTCTGTTATAAGTAAGGTGATGGAGAGGTGCATAAATCGCGAGCTTCTGGACTACCTCGAACGTCACTGCTTGATTAGCGACAGGCCGTTTGGTTTCCGGCACCAGCGATCCACAGAGGACCTCCTAGCTTATGTCACATAATTGTGGAGTAAACTCATCCAGTCTTATGGTGAGGCTCATGTCGTTGCTCTTGACATCACGAAAGCGTTCGATCAGCTGTGGCACGCTGCCCTCTTAAGCAAACTTCCATCCTATGGCCTCCCAGAAAAGCTTTGCAGATGGGTGGCTGACTTTATCTCTGGCCGCAAGATATCCGTCGTAATTGACGGGTTCTCCTCTTCATCCCGCAACGTCGACGCGGGTGTTCCCCAGGGATCGGTCTTTTCTTCGACACTGTTTTTCTTACATATCAACCACCTGCACGATCAACCCAAGCCACAGCTGCGCTGATGACAGCACTCTACAAGCAGGAATTCAGAGTGACCAGCCGATCTCTGCGACTGAGCTGGAAAAAAGAAGACTAGCGACGACTTCCTCTCTGACAAGAGACCTGGAGGCTATCACTGCTTGGGGACGCAACAATCTTGAACAGTTCAATGCTTCCAAAACACAGTACTGTACTTTGACGAACAAAAAGCGTCCTAGCGCTCATCCGGTTTCGATGGAGAGCCGAGTTCTGCCAAAGAGCCATTCCTTTCGGCTGATCGGAATCCAGATCAGCGAGGACCTGATCTGGCACGAACACATCTCCTCAATAGCTGCAGCTGCTGGGAAAAAGCTAGGCTATTTGTTTAGGGCTAAGAACTACTTTTCTCCACATGACCTTCTCACTCTATAATTAGGCCCAGATAAGGACTAGCCTCGAGTATTGCTCACACGTTTGGGGCGCTGCCGCCCCGACTACATTATCCATGCTCGATGCTGTCCAGAGGAGGGCGGTCCGACTGATCGATTACTCTTCTCTAACAGACAGTCTCGGGACTGTTGCGCACCGGCGGACCGTCGGCGATCTAGCTCTTTTCTACCGTTACACCAACGGGCTTTGCTCCTCAGAGCTCTCTTCCATGATGCCGCCGCGCGATGTGCCTGCCTTTGGCGTCCCATCCTAACCGTGTCGAACTTCGTACATCCAGAACTGGCCGTTACGACCGCTCCTTTGTCCCGAGGGTGTAGAGATTGTGGAACAATCTATAAGAGTAAGCTTTTCCCTGTTCTACTAACCTTAGCCAGTTCAAAAATCGTATTAACAAAATTTCTTTGGGATCACCATAGCAGCCGCGGTGTTCCGGCATTTAGGCTTCTGCCTGCGCGGCTGCTTCGATACATAAAAAAAGGATATAAAATCAAAGTTGGATGCTGTTTATGGGGATACTTTACCATCTATGACCACGGTTAGATATTGGTTCAACGAATTTGAACATGGGCGAACATCTGTTTTTGATGACGAGCGACCAGGACGCCCGGCAGACGTGCTTACCGAGGAAATCACTCAAAATGTCCACGACATGATCTAATCGACGAACGAAAAGGCCCGAAGTAGCAGATTCCGTAGGTGTGTCGACTGGAACGGCAATAAATATGATAAGTTGGAGAAAAATTTCGGCCCGTTGGTTGCCGCGATTGCTCACGGTGGACAACAAGCGGATGCGGCTGTTACCTTCGAATCAGTGTTTAGAGTAATTTAAGCGAAATCCGAAGGAGTTTTTGCTTCGAGTTGTCACCGTTGATGAAACCTGGATTCGTCATTACACACCAGAAGCTAAGCAACAATCAAAACAATGGATTTCTCCCGGTGAATCTGCTCCAAAGTCGGCGAAAACGGTCCCAACGGCCGGAAAGGTCATGGCGAAGATTTTTTGGGATGCGAACGACGTCATCCTCATGGATTTTTTTTGTATAAGGAAGAACGATCACTGGACAATACTACAGTGAGTTATTGGATCACTTCGACGAAGAACGGCTGCATTTGGCGAAAAAGAAGGTGCTGATTCACTACGATAACGCAACAGGACATTCATCCGAAGTTGTCGTCGCCAAGCCCCTAACGGGAAGAAATGGCTCGCGGGAAAAAAATTAGCTCAAACGAGGAAGTCATCGCCGAGGCAGAGGCGTATTTTGGAGAGTTCGACAAATCCTATTTTTTGGAGGAGTTAAAAAATGGCAAGGACATTGGTAAAAGTGTATCTTTTTAAAAGGGGACTATAAAAATAAAAAAAACATATTGGAAAAATGATGTTCATTTCTAGCACGGGTACTTATTGAACCGCCCTCATAAATATATTTATACTAACATCAAAAAAGTGAAATATACCCTCCCCACCCTGCCTACAATCCCCCGCCACCTATTTTTTTATTTCAGATTTCAGACTATTTCCAAAATTAATTGAAACGAGGAATTTTTCGGTAAACGGTAAAAGGATAAATCTTGCCGGAGAAAGATGGCGCATTGCTTGAGCTCCACGTGTTTCGGAAGAGAGCCCCATCATCATCATCAAATAGTGAAAGGCTGAGGAGGGCAGGTAGCTCTTGGCTCTTTTTCTCAAGTTTATAATAGAATTATATCAGAAATATGTTATTCAAGTAAGGTTTTTCGGTAGATTTGATTTCGCATTAAAATCAGTAGACTAGGACTAAAATCGGTAGATCTACAGAAAAATCGATCGACCTGGTAACACTGACACCAGACACCGTGAAAAGTATACATCTGACGTCTCGGCCTAATCGTGAACACTGCTTTTTTCGCTCCAACCAACCATATACGGCAGTGTTTGGATGGAACGACTAACAAAATTTAATCTAGTACTATACCAACCTCCGGTCTGGGCATTTCGACCATGCAATCCTCGCTGAGTTGACCGAAGAAAAATGTGAAGAACTCGAACGCATCTTCATGCCACCCTTTTTCATACATTGGGTTCACGCGGCTGAGTTTATCCCTTATAAATTGGGGATAGTAGATTTTTGGATCATCCTCAGTACCCTCCCACAGCTTATCAAACACCTGTAGAAAGAAAAATAGACCTAAGTTTCTGATACTTGAATACGGCATAGTGCAAATTTATGAAAGTACTACGAGCCTCTTTCACAACGACGAGTCAGCTATCTCTTACCGAAATGACAGAGAACTTTTTAAGGTTCTATCGATTTTACTTAGTTCAAAATTCTGTCCAACCTTGCTATAACAATTGCAGCACTCTGGTATTTAGGTTTTGCCTAGGAAAATCTTACCTCACCCATCAATATATTGAATACCGGAGGTACTCTTCGATTCAGGGTTAAGTGCCTGTTTGTATTCACAAAGTACTCTTTTATGAACGGCAATGTTTTCATACATTGTAAGATCGCGCTCATAAAACAGCAATTCTTGTAATTTCGGATTCCCGTGAAGCCTCGCCCCTTCACCTAAAATAAAATGAAAAATGGAGATTATTGTATCGATAATATCAACGCATTCTCGAAGAAAATGCATAACCCTATGCTGTGTTTTGACGTTAGCATACAACTCTCATCGTCACAGCCATGCAGGTCTTAGTCATTAGAAGTAGATTCATGAGATTTCAGATTCTCAGAACGACGAAAAAAGAAATTTCATAAGTGACTACGCTGATGTATACTGCCGTAGGTAGAGAAAGTTAAGTTTAAAAACCTGAGTCTGAGTAAACTGAGTTCATAATTCTGGATTTTGTCGAACTAAATAAATAGTATTATGACGACAGAACAAAAGTGGATGAATATTGCAGTTACATGAGAGAGGCATTTAAATGTGATTTCAGATTATAACTCTTGTTGAGGTCTAAAAGAAATGAAATTCCGTCTTTTACTGTTATAAATCAAAAATCAGTAATTTGTGATTTACTGCATTTTACTCTGCAAAAACAAATTTATTGCCTTTTTTCGTAGTTTTCATAATCTATTTATATTATTCTCTCAAATAAAATACGCAGTAATACAGAATCTTATTTTAGTTCCTTATAATTTATTCATATCGAATTTCATATAAATAGCACAAACCTTTTCAACATCAAATAATTCAATTGAAAAATTATATGATTACCCATCGAACATGATGACGCCAAAATAACGTCATTATTCGGTCACTTTTGGTCGGAAACGTCATTGACTAAAAAATTACGTCTTTATTGACACCATTTTTATGGCAACAAGACGTCCTTTAAAAGTTATTTTGACGTCTTTTTTATGACAGTCAATACGGAAAAATCAACACTTACCTAAGTTGGGGTTTTCCTTTTAAGAAACAACTACCCTTGAAATAACAAAGGTAATGTGTAGTGAAACGAGGGCGACCAAGTAAAAAAAAAATAAAGGAAAAAGTACTCACTCTCCAGTTGACGAGAAGGGCTAAGTACGTCTCTGCCCGAAATCATACCGCTCCAACAGAAAATGAAATCAGCTCATGCGCTACCGAGCAGACGCCGGTGGTGGTGCAGACCAAACAAATAAGACGGCGTTGCCGCGTTTTCAGTTTTTAGGTAAACGTACTTTATACGTATTGTTCGAAGTTATCGCCGTTTGATTCAAAAACACCGGTGCGTGCACGACGTAGCCAAGCATCGGTGCAGGCTTTGAGAATGGAGTCCCTCCCCCGAATGAAAGCACCAGCTGGTTCAATTCTGAGACGAAGTTCGTCAACCGTACGCACTTCAGTTTTGTACACTAAGCGTTTCATTTCTCCCCAAAGAAAAAAATCACATAGTGTTAAGTCTGGAAATCGCGGAGGCCACGCTACGGGTCCATTACGTCCGATCCACCTATTCGGAAATAATTCATCCAAAAACTCACGCACTTCGCGTCTAAAATGGGGCGGTGCACCATCGTGCAGAAACCACATTGATTGTCTTACACTTAATGGCACATCTTCTAACAAGGAAGGCAAAATGTTGCGTAAAAAGTCTAGGTATTGCATCCCGTCCAATCGATTTGGGAGAATAAATGGTCCAATGAGCATACCGTTCACCATGCCAGAACAAACATTCACCGAAAATGTTTGTTGATAATGTGCCCGACGGACAGCGTGCGGATTTTCTACTGACCAAACATGAGTGTTGCGAAAGTTATTCACCCCATTACGCGTGAACGTGAATTCGTCTGTCACCAATATGCACTTCAAAAAGTCCAGATTATTGTCATGTTGATGCAACAACCACTCACAAAACCGCAATCTTGCTGGAAAATCGTCAGGTTGAAGGGCTTGTACACGTTGGACGTGAAACGGATACAGCCCCTCTTCACGCAGCGTTTGTACACACTTTAGTTTTTGATACTTGCACTTCTCTAGCCACGTCTCTAGTGCTTGTTGAGGGATTCTCGTCTACGCGATTACCTCTACACGCGTGACCGTAACCGTCGGTTGAAGGTTGCATACTGACCTGACACACTGACCACGACCCAGTTCTGTCGTCGGGTTGAGCAAGTGACATTGTACCACTCGGTGATGTCGCGTGTCGCGGCTACAGGACGGTATTCAGATATTTTTGATGTTGCAGAGCCCTTTATCTCGGTTCCCTTAAGACATTGGTGTATATGGTACTAAGAAAAATTGCTTATGTTTTCAAGATCTACACGTGGTGTAAAGGAAAACCCCAACTTTGCGGACACCCTGTATAGGCTTTTAGTGTAAGGTAAACTAGATATCCAAATACTATAATAACTACTTTATTGTTATTTATAAAAAGTATCAGGAATTCTTCGACCAAAAATATCTTATTAATGTGACTTTTCTAATAATAATATTCCATGTTCAGATATTTCAAATTGAGATCTTACATCATATTTTATTACCGCAAATAACAAATTTATTAGAAACTCCTCTGTATAATAATAAACAAGTTTTACTAAAATATTTGCAATCAAGCGCGGTCACATAGACGTCATATCGACCTCAGATAGGCGTCATTTCCACGACATACAGACGCCAGATCGACTTTGTATTTGGTCTTTTAAACGACATATAATGACGTCAACTGGGTGCGACATTAGACCGTCCTAATGACGTCATCTCTACGTCATTTTTGTTGGTCGGCGCATGTCAGTAGCGCCCTAAAAATGCCAGCATTATGACATCACTCTGTAAATTTAATAATTTACATTCAGTGAAAATAATTGTATAAATAAACTAGCATCTACCAGCATGTTTTCTGATATGTTAATTTAAATGAAGAATATTTTGTAAAACTATTCTTTCGGAGCGAAAGTAAGATAAATACTTATTCACAAGTAATAGAATTATTGCATAAGAAACTAAATAAGTAAACATCATAATAGGTTGTAAAAGGGTAAAAAGTATAAGTAAGTACCTGTATCATCAAAAAAGTATAGTTTGAAAACTACTGCTTTTTTGCTTTGATAAATTGATTTACTGCTGTTATGCTTAGGGAATGTAATTATTTTTTGCTTTGATAAATTGAATTACTGCTGTTTTGCTTAGGAAATATAATTATGAAATATCTTGTAAAGTAACTATTCCATTGTCAATGATATATTTTTTATTCTAATCAGTTTAAAAAAGGCAGTAAATGAACTTTACTATATTTTACCTAAGTATGGCAGTATTGTTGTAAGTTGTAAGGATAAATTGTTTAGCGCCGCTTTCATCTGAATTGGGCATCTTCTTGTGTAATATGTTCATCAATGTAAGTTCATATATAAAAACTATAAAGTATAAGTGCCTGTATCATATAGAGAATCAAAGTAATATAGTTTGAAAACTACTGGTTTTTTTAGGAAATGTAATTATGAAATCTTTGGTAAAGTGAGAAAATAACTATTTCATTGTCAATGATATATTTGTTATTGTAATCATAAAAGGAATGTATTGGCGTCAAAGTTAAAAAAGGCAGTAAATGAACTTTACTATCTTTTACCTAAGTATGGCAGTATAGTTGTAAGTTGTAAGCATAAATTGTTTAGCCCCGCTTTCATCTGAATTGGGCATCTTCTTGAGTAATATGTTCATCAATGTAAGTTCAAGTCGTTATAAACACTTACGTCTTTTTCTGGTTCTATGACTCTAGCAGGTTTAAAACTCCTGTCAAAGGAAGGAGGTGGAGAGACATAGGTTGGCACAGCATTGTCCATCGGCTCTGGAGAATTATCTCTCCGTCTTTCATGTGACCTTGAGTAGTCTTGGTTACCCTCATTCCATTGCTCTGGAAGATAAGTTGGTTTTGATGCGCGGGCTTTTAGCAACATCAATTCTCTGTCACCTTCCATGAGCTTTCGGATTGCCTTCAGACAAAAAAAACAAAATAAAGGATATTTTTCTAGAGATGAGCAAATTGTTTCGCCCTTGACCCATCTGCAGATATATTCGATGAACATTATTGAAAGTAAGGCCTCCATTATACTTCGCGATGACGGATACCATACAGGACTGCCAGAGATTCAAAGCACATAATATTAAACCATATTCAGATTATTTCATGCGGCAATCGCGCTCTGATATTGTATAAGAGTTGAAATTGTTCAACGCGGCTAAGACGTAATCAGATACTCAAAAGAAGGTTTTAATTAACCCCAAATAAAGGTAGGACTACACCTTAGCGCCTAAACATCGAAATGTTTCGTTCTTTCGGGAGAAATAGAAGAAGTCATTAGAAATGGTCAAAATGCAACTATGAAAATATGCTCGGTGACATTAGAAGTGTTACACCCAGAACAAAATCATTTCTTCAACTTGATGTTTGGCAATAAGGCAGTCTTACATTAAGAATGAAACAATAACATTCTCCCAAAATTTTATTGACTAGAAATAAGAAGAAAACTTAATGTATTGGGCGACCCTGCAGCTGAATACACTCCTATATACGTCTAGACATCGACAAAATGCGATAATCGATGTCTGGTTGTGGCACCTCGAACTTCGTGCTTTAGCTGTGGCAGAGTCTATGGCGGATGATGCAAAGTGGATAGTCTCCTTCCCCGTCATATCCCACACATGTTCGATGGTATTTGAATCCGGTGAACGGGGTGACCACGGCAAAACATTAACGCCTGCTTCTTGAAGCAAGTGCGTAGTACGACGAGCAATATGGGGACGTGCGTTGTCTTGCTGAAAAAGGACGAGTGGACGGCCCTCTAAATACGGCAGTAAAGTGGTTTGTAGGGTATCATCAACATAACGCGCAGCAGTCATATTGTCTTGAACAAAGAGAAGGGGTCATCGGCTACGATAAGCAATAGCCCCCCAAACATTTACTCCAACAGTCCTGTGTATATGCCTCTCACCAGCAAATCCAATATCACGCTGTTATCTACGGTGGCGTCTTACCCTTCTACCTCCATCGTGCGTACCTAGACAGAATGGCGATTCGTCGCTGAAGATGACATGTTGTCATTCCGCCTCGCAATGGTGCCGATCCCTGCTTCAGTCCAGTGGTCCGCAGTCAGAGGAAGCACTAACCGTGGACGGTATGAAAAAAGTGCAAAGGCGAGAATGTGGCGATAAAGTGTACGCATAGTAACAGGTCTCCCTTCTTCTCCAAACCATTGGTCAGCGATCTGACGCGTAATAGCAAAATGGTCTCGTAGGGCTAGCTATCTGAGGCGCCTATCTTGACGCTCTATGGTACGCCTCGATGGACCAGTTGGCCATCTTCGTGACCCTCTACCTTCTTCTATCCACACAAGGCACACACGCATTACCGGCATTGCAGTACAATTAACACGACGGCCAATTTGGCGATAAGACAAACCAACATCTCGATAGGTAATAATTCTACCCCTGTCAAACTCGCTAACATGGTGATAATTTGGACGTCTTCGAACTCGAGGCATTTTGTTATGCTTAATACTAGTAAATGAAAGGGCAATAACTGAAAATACCTATACTACTCAGGTCTCAGAAACTGCTTTCTTCACAAAAACTAAGAGATAACATTTTAACAAAGGTACACAAAAGCTAAGATAAAACGTTGACATTATCGCCACAGCATGTTTTAAATACGTTATGTTGCCAGAAAAACAAGTTAATGAAATTATTTTTTCTGGGTGTAAGACTTCTAATGTCACTGGGTATACATATCGTAGATAATGTTTTTTATTTTGTAAGCTATATAGGTGTTGTGTTGTTTTTTCAAAACGTTTCCTTAAAAATCCTTGACAATTCCATTATTTTTCAATAAAATGACAGTTTTAGCGTTTATGAGTATTATTTGAAAAGTTTACAAATGTTCATTTCCTAACAGATATAACGAATAATGTGTATTATTGCCAAATAGTTCGTCTTGTTGGGGAAAATGCTGAGGTAACTAGATTATCAGAATATTTACTGAAAATTAGATGAAATCCCGAACAGTAAGCCTAAACAAGCGGCGCCGCGAGTTCCATGGAGGAAAAGGTCTCACGGACAACGAACGAAAGCTTAGCAACTATGTGTGCGATCTATCGAAATAAGATCTACCACAAGATTCGATCACTGAGGAGAATAGTGAATGGCAGCAATCGGTTCGCGAGCGAATCGAAGCAGCTATCCATCCAAATCCTAACCGCGCCAGAAGCTGCTTAGCCCCATATAACTGGTTGCCAGTCTCTATCAGTAGTTCAAACGCACGTTAATCGCCGTTGTCGCTTAAAATGTCAGCGATGCCAGATATACCCCGAAATGATTAAAAGTGTGATCCGGTTAGTAAACTGGTTTGCTTCATCACGAATAAAGAATCTGTATTCACAATTAGTGGGGATATCATTGTGCAGCAGTACTAATATTCTTCTGTAGCGGAAAATGTCAAAAATGAAGAAAATCAACATCTTAGTATCGGACAAAATTAATTTTGACTTTTATGCAATGCAAAATATATTGAATTTTTGTAATTGAGCTAAAAGATGTACAGGTATGTCATTAAGTAGTTTCAAATGATACTAAAATAAATTAATAAACGTTTTTTCAAAGATTTATTAGAGAAAATAAAAAAATATAAAAAACTATAATTATGCAACAAAATCAGAAACACTTATCCTTGAAATACATTTGTATCCTATATTAATGAAACTAAACTAAAACTTCGTCCAGTACCCTTTGTTCTCAATGACTTTTTGACATCTATTTGGCATCGACCCAATGAGATTGGAAATTACAGCTGGATCCATTGGTTTCCAAGCATTTTCAATCTCTTTAAATAACTGAGCACGATTGCTGATAATTTTCAGTGGGGTGATTGCAGTGGCCATTTTAAAACTTGAATTTTATTTGCCACAAACCATTCCTTCACAAGTTTGGCAGTATGTTTGGGGTCATTATCATATTGGAACGTAAACATTAGCGGCATTTCCCATTCGGCGTAAGGCATCCATGGTGCCCTCAATTTTCTAGTCTTTTATTTGCTGGACGATGTACGAACTGCACTCCGTCACTTCCAAAAATATCAAACTTAGACTCGTCACTAAACAAAACCTTGTTCCAGTCCTTAGCTGTCCAGTGGCGGTGACGTGCTGCAAATATCTTCCTAGCAATCACATTTTTTTATAAATGGTGTTTTCTAGCTGGTCTTCTTCCAGGGAGCTCCGCCTCCACGAATCGCCGCTGAACAGTCTTAGATGAAACTCCCGGAACATCCAACTGAGCCAAAATTTGATTGGCAGACTTAAACGCTTAATTATCCTAACCAACTGTATTGAAGTTTTTCTCTTCCGACTACCTCTCTTAAGGTTAACAACCAAAATTTTGTATTATTCTTGCAACCATTTGTTTATTTACATGAAATTGCTCGTTTATAATTTTTGCGATCTGATTTATAAGCTTCAAAAAATGTTTCTTTTAAATCTACGGAATAATGTTTTCCACAAGGCATTGCTAACAATTTTCTCTGTTTTTTCAATCCACCACTTGACCAACTACACTTTAGCGAAACTAAATACAAAACGAGTCGCTCTAATTTTGTCGCAGGTATTTCTTTATCAATACGAGGGATGTCTTTTAAGTTTTGCATATGGAAATAAAACAACACGGTAGGTAGTTTTAAATGACTTTATTGTTTTTCGAAGCACTTATCCCACTCGTTTGCTGGCAGATCCAAAACGGCATTTTTGAATGCGTCAACTGCTTCTTCTGGTGACTGGAACCTTTGACCACGCAGTCTGTTTTTAATTTTCGGGAAAGTAAAGAAATCGTTAGGACTTAGATCGGAACTATATGGAGGATGGTCCAATAATTCCACGTTTTCTTCCGTTAAATACTGCCTTGTGTGCGAGCTTGCATTGTCTTGGTGGAGGATGATTCTTCTTTCGGGGTTGATTTTCCGAAGCTCGGTGATAACTTTTGGCAAACAAATGGTGGTATACCAATCCGCAGTAACAGTACTTTGCTCATTAAGAGGAATTGTTGCAATATGACCCGCTTTTGACACAAATGTCGCCACCAAAACACTTCGAGAACCGATGACTTTTGTTGGCTTTTCTTCACCTTGGAACACCCAAACAGCCGACTGTCGTTTATTTTCTGGTTCATAACAGTAAATCCACGATTCATCACCACCAGCAATGCTGTACACATTTTTTGAGTTTCCGGAATTGAAACGGTCAAGCGTTTTTTGACACCAATTAACCCTGGCTGCTTTCTGCTCTTCAGTCAACAGGTGGGGTATCCAACGAGAAACTAATTTTCTTACTCCTGATTCTTCATGTAAAATTTTTTGAGTTGAGGTCTTTGATATCTTCAAGGACGCCTCAATCTCGCGATATGTCACATGTCTATCTTCAATGATGAGTTTGCGCACAGCATCGACGTTTTCCTGGGTGACTGCCGTTTTTGGTGCACCACCCTGGAATCGTCGCTAAGACGCACCCGTTCACGTTTGAATTCTCCATACCAACGGGAAATTGTCGACTGATGTCGCGCTTCGTTGCCGAAAACAGACAGTAACTCAGCAAGGCATTCTTGTGCCTGAAAGTTGTAATAAATTATGGCGCGAAAATGTTCTCTCTCTCTCGGTTGAGTTCCATTTTTCTAATGACTTGGTGACCCTTAAACATTCACTGTAGTGAGAAAGCTGCACGTATTATTGTGAAACTTTGAATTTAAGTTTAGTAAAGAGTGAGGTTAAGATTCAGTACTGACGTTCGATCCCCGCGGCCCACTATGTTTCTATATGCAAAACTTAAGAGACATCCCTCATACAAAAAAAACTAACACGAAAATACCATCAGGTACACAAATAATCTGTTGGTAATGAAATTCTTTTGGTCGCCGGTAATACACTGCTTAGCAAAATTTAATATTGTTTTAAGTATAGAAAACTGGAATGGACAAATAGCACAGTCTCTCTTATTTTTTCCGATACTGTATATCAATATGAAAATAAACAGAAAACGTAAATACACCGAAATTTCACTATGAAAGTAAACAAACTATCACTGTAGGAGAACATTTGGGGAAAATAGAGACAGAACGGTTAAAGAAAGACCATTTTCCTGAACGGAGAACATGTAGTAATCCCGATGAGAGGTATGTATTATTTATTAAAAAATTTGGGAACTGGTGAAAACAAAAAAAAACAAAAGCGTATCTTAAGATTAATAGAAAACGTCTAAATCTCATAGCTAAGTGACAATCTACAGTGAGAATTTATATTTGAAACGTCCATCTTAATAAAAAACTGAAAAACCAAAAAATCTACAATTTTCCAACATGGTTACCCATCACAATACTAATCGCGCCAGACGCTGCTTAAAACTGTTAGCCCTACTGGTAAGGGCGGGTATTATTTCTTTAAGCAATATTAAATTAATAGATTACCTGGCAATCCTCAACCGACATATCTTGCCGCTTCATGAAGTCCGTCGAAGCTGCAGGGTTAATGTTTCCTTCGTTGTATTCCATTGGAATTCGATGCTCGGAAATGCTCGTGTAAGGCCCACTAGATACAACTGGCTCCTTGGCAAAGTACGAATTTTTCGGCAATGCCCCTTCTGAACGTATATTACGCAATTTAAGCGCTACTTCATCGTCTTCATCTTCTGCGGGGAAGTCCCTGTCTACACGTTTTGCTATGTTGCCCATAGAATATGCCGAATCAACCATGAGGTTTCTATGACCTCCTCCTGAGGCTGCACCAGGATATTCCACTGAGTCTATATCCAACAAATCGTCGATCTCAGAGTTTTGCTTAGCGAACAAACAACCAGAATTCTCTACTTCTGAAGGATAACATTGAACGAACTCTTTTAAACCGCCATCTAGGATAAATGGGAGCTCCCGGTAGCTTCTGTTGAAGTCCCACTGCAAACAAAAAGTTAAATTAGAATTCTTGGTTTTTTCAAACAAATTCACAATTTCACAATACTCAATGACGAAGAAAACAGAACACATTTACGGTATCGTTAGATTTCGCTAATGTGTTGGGCCAGGACCACCTAGATGTGTGACTAGCTCTTCTTCCCATCACCCGACACATGTTCAATTGGATCTAGGAGGCCAAGGAAAGAGGTGAATTTGACCATTACTGATGTAGACCACTGTAGTTATAGCAATATGAGGACGGGCATTATCTTGTTGCTAAACAGGGTTTTCAAGTGTTTGGAGGAATAGCAAAAAATGGGATTCTAGTATTATCTGGATATACCGTCATAGTTCATCTAATGGAAGAAGTGACTTGACATCATATTCAATGGCACCCCAAACTTTAACCTCAATATCGTTCTGCGTGCTTCTTTGATATCCTAGATCTCGAGACATTTCGTCCATTGAACATGTTGAAATATGATGGAAAGTAAAGTAACTTCTTGTATACCTCCAGAAGACGTAAATCACCTCATTAGAAGCATACATTATAGGGAATTCAGCAATATAGCAAAATGTTTCCGCTTCAAAATGTGATCACGACTTTCCTTGAAAACTGGAAATTTGCTCATGCCCAACCTATTCGAAAAAACTACATGCATGTAGCTTTGCTTTCTGTTATAAGGTGATGGAGAGGTACATAAATCGGGAGCTTCTGGAGTACCTCGAAGGTCACGGCTTGATCAGCGAAAGGCAGTATCGTTTCCGGCACCAGCGATCCACAGGGGACCTCTTAGCTTACGTCACGCATTTGTGGAGTAAACTCTATGGTGACAGAAAGATATTAATAATAGTAGTAGTAATTGACGGGTTCTCCTCTTCATCGCAAAAGTCAACGCGGGTGTTCCCCAGGGATCGGTGTTGGCTCAGACACTGTTCCTCTTACATATTTTAAAGTACTACAAATTCTTCTCAGCTCAAGAGGATGCATTTCAAATCTGACGATTGGGATAAACATCATCTGATTTGAAAATCAAGTATTTAATAAATCTCCTCTGTACTTTCAATTTCACTAGTATACATTTGGTAATACGGATGCCATGCACTTGATGTTTATTCCAGCTTAGAACGCACCAAGGTACAGTATAAAGCCTTAGGTGCCGTCTCACTGCCAAATGATTTACAGTTTCTTATAAAAAAAACGAGACTTTTCATAGCCGATGATACTATTGTATTAATATGATTTGTAAATTCTAATTTAGCATCAAACAACACGCCTAAATCTCTCACTTCTAATCAACGCATCAAACTGACACCTTCCAGTGTGAAATCAAAAGCTATTGGGTCCGTTTTCCTGGCAAAAGAACAGGTCTTGCACTTGCTAACATTCATCAGTTCAGTTCATTTCGCATGGTCAGAGTTCAGATCACCAAGGACTTGATCTGGCACGAACACATAATAGCGGCAACTGTTGAGAAAAAGCTACACTATTTGTTTAGGGCTAATAAGTACCTTTCTCCACAAGACCTCCTCACTCTGTACAAGGCCCAGACAAGACCTAGCTTCGAGTACTGCTCACATCTTATTGGTGCTGCCGTCCCGACTGCATTATTCATGCTAGACGCTATTCAGAGGAGGGACTTGCTCCTCAGAGCTCTCCTCCATGATGCCGCCGAGCGCTGTGCCTGCCAGACAGACCCGCCTGACTACGGCCTCCCATCCTAACCGTATCGAGCTTCGTACATACTGAACTGACCGATACGACCGCTTCTTTGTCCCCAGGGTATCGAAATTGTGGAACAATCCGTATGAAAAGATGCTTTTCCCAGTTCTAATATAACCATAGGCAGTTCAAAAATCGCATTAACAAAGTTTCTTTAAGCTCATCATGGCATTTAGGCTTCTGCCTTGGCGGCTGCTTATTGTAAACCTACACCTCCCCTTTGCCATCTCTAACTGTATACAAAATTTCATTCAATACAATCATTTTCCTGGCTGTTCTATTTTCTTTATCTCAGAGTATATAACAGTACGCACAAAATAATCAAAATTAATACTGCAGTTACTGAGATGAGAAAGTTACGAAAACATTAATGAAGATTACATTCTTGCTCAGATACCCAGACCATTTAGTTTAGTTTAAAATAAACCGAAACGTCAAAAAAAAATGTGAAAATGTTTTCATTAATAATAATAATCTTTATTGGTTCTGTAGATCATTTATCATGAAATCATCAATGTTGAAGGTACTCTACCTTGAAAAGTACCAAAAGCATTCCAAAAATAGATAGATAAAACCAAAAACAATATACCATATATATGAAATACAGGACAGCCACAAAAACAATAAGCAAAGAAATACAACACAATACCTATTAAAATAAGGATTGGCCAAGTTAAAAATATATAAATGAATAAATAAGCAAATAAAATACAAAAACCTTAAATAATGTGCTACAGTTGAAAATGTATGAGTATATATAAGAATAGTACACTTTGCGTCTTAACAGAGCTTTAAGTTAATGTCAAAAATGCCTTTGGCAAGATTTTAAAAGTGTTTGGCAATTTATTGAACAGTCTAATACCCATTTGATGTAGGTTGACTTCTGTTCTTGACAGCCTATGAGCAGGAATCTGCAGGACAAGCGAATTCCTAGTTGAGTACTTATTATGGTCCTTTAACTTTGGAAACATACCCAATTCACTGAAAGCATTATTTTGGAGAAGATTATTTAGTCATAATCACATCTAGGTTCCAAGGTAAGATCACCCCCCAACTTGCCTCGTAATTACCGATAGGATTTCGTATTCTCAGAATATGTTAATTGATGCTAAAACATACCTCAGTTATGAATATGCGTAGGCAGTGTAATTTCGACAATCCGTAGGTAAACTTTGTTGTGTCATAATCCAAAATGACAATGCAGTCGAAGCTATCTCGGTTATCCCAGATTACACGGGTCTCTGGTGACAATTTAAGCCCTAGCGTATTTGCGGAAAGGCTGAAATTAAAATTTACCTAATTACAGAATGCTGAAAGACGCTTGCACATGATATGTGGAATTTTGGAGATCGGTTAAGTTTCCTCGAAATTTGTCATGCAATTTTTCACCTCTGATCTTCACTTACCCTGGTTGAATGAGTTCGGGTGGAATATTAATCATGCCTCCTGCCTTTTTCTTGATTCTAGTTTGATCGTATTCGTTAGTTTGTCGAACGTCTAGAATTAACACGTTCATGTCGTCAAGGCGTCTGTAAAACTCTTCAGGTGTAAGGAACAGTCCTAGAATATAAACTTTATTATTACCAGAACACAATTAGACATTGTAAAGGACTGGTCTTGCGAATGCGCCCGTCATATTGCTATACCAGGTCTGTGAATTAAGTAGTGAGACTTTTTTGTCTTCCCAAAGTTGAAAAATCAAGCGAACTCTTTTTGGGATACTTGAAAACACTCAAACGGCTGTAACTGACAGAATCCGGAATGTTGTGTTTTCAAATCGACGGTTGACAGTCAGAATGATCGGGGAAGAGTTAAATTGGACTCACACCACTATTCATAAGATCAAGAACAACTGGGTGTTGCAGCACGATAATGCTCCTTGTCATACAGCAATGTCAATAAGCGAGTTTTCCTCGAAATAATTGAAAAATCACCTCAAAGGAACTCATTTTGCGACACTCGAAAATACTCACATGGCTGTAATTGACCAGGCTATTCCAGTATCGGAGTTCCAGCACTGCTATGAAGAGTTGAAGAACCGTCTCCAGCACTGTGTGGCTTAAGAAGAAAGTTATTTTGAGGGTGACAATATACAATTGCAGTTATATTTGGATGGAAAAATTTTTAAAAATGAATCTCATTACTTAATTTACAGACCACGTATACCCTAGCGTCTCCAAGTTTCCCTTAGAAGTAATAAAAACAAGCTTTATTTTCCTTTTGAAGGAAATTGTTTACTCCTGATCATGGCATCAAGCTTCGTAAGAAAAATCACTTCACGTAATTATCCCTAAAATTCTGTACTCTCAAAATTCCTCAATTTCGCAACCATAACTCCCGGCAACATTTACGCCACAAGGCTGTGGTCGACAGGTATACACAGCGATCCAAGTCCTGGAATGGCAAGGTATTTGAGAATATTAAAGGTAGTATAAATAAAACAGTAGGGATATATTATTTTTTACTAGCTATGCAGTGGTGGCCTTCACTTTGACCTTGAGGTCAATGTCAAGCCATTTTTTTAATATGATCCGATATTTCGACCCCGAAAATGTATAGAGCTGAAAAGTTCAGTTATGAACTCATGTGAAAATTATGTTGACGTCAATGTCATTATAAAAAAAAGCTAGTGAAAGGAGTTGATGGATCTTTCTTAAGATAAAACTTCAATTTTTCTAAGGCCATCCACCGGTGATCATTAAACTGAGCTCTATCATGACCTTGACAATCAAATCAATTTTGTTCATTGGTACTCAACACTATTAACCCCGGAAATGGAACGGAAAAATTTACGTTCAGTTGCAACCATGAGTGAAATTTGTTTCAACGATGAACGTCCTTGTCAAGGTCAGCGTGAAAACATCGGTTGACAAAATTTCAGAGATGTTTCCAAAAACTAAAATAAAAACTTCCTGGTGATCTTCAATCTTACCTTGGTGGTCAAAGCAAGGTCTAAACACTTCTTTGTATGATGCCCTATATGTTTGATCTGGGAAACGGATAGAGTGAAAAAATTACTTTTAGACATGACCCTGGCCTGGGACATTTAAGGTCAAAATAATTTTCATCCAATGCCGCATTTAAACGTCAAATTTCCCGTTATATTCCTTTCAGGGGTTGAAAGTATTGAAACCGTCGACCTTGATTTGACCCTCCAGGTCATGCTCAAGATCAAACTCAATACCACCACTAAACAGCCAGGGAAAAAATCCCAAGCTGTACCACTTTACTTTTACCATAGTCCTTGAATATGCCCAAATTGGATATCTTCTGGTGAAATGTGTTATGTTTATTAAAATGTCTTTAAAATATTACCGCTTCCAGGCTTTTGCACTAGTGGAGTGCCTCTTGGTTCCTGGATATCTGAGGTCATATCATCTTCAGTCGGTTCAAAGTCTATAAATGGGTCAGGTTCGCCAGTCGGTTGAATGTAGTCGCTATCCAGAACAATCGAAGACTGGTCTGAAAGCGTATTGCTGCTATGCGGAGCTCTCGAGCTGATAGAAAGTTTTTCTTGAAGCGAAGCTGTCAAGACCTTATACCTAAATGATATAATTCAATTAGAGTTTAAAAATAATTCTTAAGTCGAAAATTTTATTTTGGTTCTTGCCGACACTAAATTCACCAAAGCATATTCAATACTACACAGCAGTGTAACTTCTGATAATAAGAGGGGTTCGTGCATTGCATGCGTCATGTCTTGCAGCATGTGCTGAGCAGAAATATTCACTTTCAGGGAAATGTGAAACAGTATGGTATTAGATATGCTATGGTTTTACTACTCAACTTATACAGGGTGTCCCAGAATGTGGTGTGTCAAGGTCTAAATTAACCTTGCCACTAATTTATCATAAAAGTATGGATATAGAGGAATTGACCTCGATTTTCAATATCATGTTAAGGTTATGTTTTTTCATTAAATGACAAATTGAATAGTGTATGAAATTCTATGGTCAGATATGTCCTTGAATAATCTGGCCTTCAAATGAGCTTGAAGGTCAAAGTTGAATTATAATAAGGTAAGGAATCCCAGTAACAAAATACCTTGTTTAACTTTAGTAACATTAGTTTTGGAACCCTGTTCTTTCAGGCGAGTATAGGCATAGCCCTCAAGGGTTCAAGGTAATATCTCACAGAGGACAAATGCAAGATGTTTTACTTTCATGATCCATCATTATATTTTGAATGATCATAGCTATATTTGAGCTTCAAATGTGCAATATTCTGATCTATTCAACAGTGGGGTCAGAATGTAGGTTGTCTTTTGGAAGAATATAACTGACCTTGAAACTGAATGTATAAGATGGCTCAATCATATCCATTGATCTGAAATTTTATTTTGTAAACCTATCAGAATGTCAGGATACCATCAGTTGTTGGTGCAGATGCTACATACACAAAGTACAAAATTTGCCATATTGGCAGACCAGGCTAGTATCCAACTAGCCTGGATGTTTCATTACAGCGTAAGTTAAAACACTCATAAACTGGGCAAATTATGAAGGTTGTCCTTACTTGTCAGTGGGCTTATGGAATAATGCTGCTGTAATGGATCTTTGAATGACACCCTATATACAAAATTCAGCAGAGGTTTACATGTATATATATATATATATATATTGATAGGTTATGTAAACTCTAGAAAGATGTCTCATATTTCCAACCCTTAACTCACAGATTTAACATCGCTTTACCTTTACTACAGTAATACCATACCTTTCCTCTAGTTCACTCCTGAGGTTATTCAAGAGTGTCTTTACAGTGTTATAGTCATTGAGAAACAAAGTGCGAATATATTTCGGATCGTCAGATACTTTAAATAGGTGATCCATCAGCAAAACATAGCGCTTAGCTAAAATGTAACATTTCTCTTGGTCCTCTCGACACAGCAACAGTTCCGCTTTCATTTTGGAAGCTAAATTTTTAAGCCTACGACAGATTCTATGAGTATCTCATTTGGACATGTTTTTGATCCATACTCACTTATGAGACTTGTTGAGGTATTTGAAAACATTGTCTTTTGTCGCCAAAGCGTCCAGAGCAGCAAGGCTGTCTGTTATATACAGCGGTATTACTTTTTTATCCATCATTTTGGATACAGAAACCTAACAAGTTATGAGCTCTTCAAATCCATATATAACTTAAAAAGAATCTGTTGACAACTTCTCAATTTCTATAAAATGATAGCGTTAATCTAAGATCTGTACGAATCATATAAATACCCGGCTCACTTCTTGAAGAGAACCTACACTTCATTTAACTTGGAATTTGGAATGAATACAGAGAGAAGATATTTTTATGAAAGATTTCAAATATTTCTGGAGTGTCAAATGTCAAATCACGGAAATTTTGACAACTGTCAATTGGAGATATCCCAAATATTCGCAGCAGGGTTGCCAAGCCTGGCGATTTGACGGCTTTAAATGGCGACTAAATTGGATAGCTTGGCGATTGGCTACTTTAGTGGCGCCCAGTATCCAGAAAATTGGCGGTTTTTAAGATTTCTGACCAGCGGATGTTCTGTGCTCTAAGCACAATGGACAAATGTCATATCAAGATGTCGTGTTCCGAGCATACCAACTACAAAACATATACGGAGAGAACGCTTAAACCGGTCCCACACGATGTGGCTCATGCCTTACAACGTTGGACACATTTCCATTCGCCACATCGTGTGGGAGAGCGCCGATGGATTTCATGTGTCCAACGTTCGCCACATGGCTCTTGTCGGTGAGTTTGACCTGCATCAAAGGACGTTACAACGTTAGAAGCAAGGTTCGTTACGCTCGCACACGAGATGTCATGTGTTTGGTGGTTTTAGGTTAGAACCAGTAGCGGCGTTAGACATTATTTACTTGTTTGCTGTGATTGTGGTGAAGTAGTGGGATTGTGGGAAGCATTTTGATTTAAATACCTACCTATTCATAGTAATGTATGTTCCGTAACTAACTTTTGAGGAGAATGAATAAAATTAGCATACATACAAAGCATAGGCTGCCATGACAACACTTTTTCCATATTGCTAATATGTACGTTTCGCAGGTGAGTTATGGCAAATAAGGATATGTATTTTAGGGAATTATAAATTATTATCAGGTGCTTACAGTTGTTTCATTATAATGTCCTGTTGCAATGCAAGACTAGTTGAGAAATATATTGACTCGCATTTCATAACTAACAAAAAAGATTATATAAATGATAAATCTGAAAGTACTATCAGGATTTTGATGAAATTTTGACCCACTTGCCAATTGTGGGGTGTCGAACGTTGTAAACAACGTTGGAAGTATCGTGTGGGACTCGCATTACTCAGAGCAATTCCAACCGGTTTCGATTTTTTTAAAGTCACTAAATCGATTTTTGAGTTCTTCTGCAATTGTGTCAATGTATTTTATATGAGGTAAATATGAAACTTCCTCAAAATCCTTCATTTCTTCGAAATGTTCTTTACAACTTGGAAAAAATGAAAATCATTTTTTTGTAATCAAGACTTGAAAAGCTTAATTTTATTCTTAAACCCATTTATGTGTCCAAATAAGTTGGCAATATTCTGCTGTTTTCCTTGTAGCTTCAAATTCAATTCGTTAAGGTGAGATGTCATGTCTGTTAAAAATGCAAGGTCTGCTAAAAATTGTGCATCTTCCATGTGATTTTCCAGTTCCGTAGTGTCGGACTTCACTTCATTTTTAAGGAAAATAGGAATTTCCTTGCGTAGATCGAAAAATCGTTGCAAATACTTTCCGGCGCTTAACCAACGAACATCGGTGTGAAGTAACAAGTCCCCATATGTCCACTTAGGCCAAAAAATCACGAAACTTTCTGTGAGTCAAAGCACGATTGCCCCCTCTAACAATATTAGTTATTTTAACAGCTACTTTCATGACATTTATTTGACGTAAGGATTTTCCACATAAGCTCTCTAGGTGAACAATACAATGTATCATAGGACAGTTGATGCTGTTTTGTTTCAATAGTCCTGCAAATCCAATTTCAGTCCCTGTCATAGCTCTGGCGCCATCAGTGACAATACAGGAACATTTATCAAATCCCCCGTAGTCTGACACCAACTTATTCACAGCTTCAAAAATATCTGTACCCTTGGTTGTACCATGGAGAGGAATAAGGACAAGCATCTCCTCTGCTACACTGAAGTCGTCTTGAATAGTTCGGATAAAAATTACAAGCTGGCTAATGTCAGACAGATCAGTGCTCTCATCCAGGCATAGCGAAAAATATTTACATTTTTCAACCACGTCACGCAATTTTTTAGATACATGTTCATTGATATGGTCCACCCGTCTCGCAATTGTTTGATGCGATACTGAGACTGTTTCAAATTTTTCGGCAACTTTTAATTCATTGAATTGTTTCGCCATTTCTATTGCACACTTTTTGATAAGCACTCCATCACTAAAAGGTTTTTTTGCTTTGGCAATTTCCAGCGCTATTTTGTAAGAGGCGGCAAAACTGCACTTGTTATCAGAGTCAGATTTTTTGAAAAAACTTGTTTGTTGTTTTAGTTTTTTCTTGTATTCCGTTATGATAGCCTGCCTCGAGTACCCTGAATATTGCCGAAACGTTTTCTCGTGTAACGTAGTGTAATGTCGTTTCATATTATATTCTTTAGGAACCGATACTACTTGCATACAAACAATGCACTAAAGTTTATTATTATTGTTTGAGATTAAATATTCTGATTCCCAACGGTCATTATAAACTCGATGTTCGTTCGTTATTTTTCGTTTGTGTGAAGACATATTTCACGGAGTATTTCACTTAAAAAGGCTTTAGAGTTGCTGTGTATTGAAACGCACTAGCACTAGAACAAAACTGCCTGTGCCGCTTGATTCAACCTTCTTATATACGCGTCCGTGACCGTGACTTCTCGAATATTCGGGGATGATCGAGAGATCGGTCCAATTTCCAGTAAATTCGCTGCGGCCTGCTATCGGTCGCATATGTTATTGTATTTTATCGTTAATGTAAGAATTGTGCATATTCGGTATTTGAGAGTAATTTATACATGTGATGTATATACATGACCCGTGAAGCGGGCCGCAAGAAAGGAGTTCGCGGGCCGTGTGTTGGACAGCCCTGTCCTACATGATGGGATAAACTTTTTAGTCTCGGACGTTCGACGCATGGTGGTGCCAACGTCTTTTATCGGTGTCAGTGTCATGCTTGAACCTTTACAACTGAAATAAAAACTATACAAAATAAACGAGGAAACAATTTTTTCGAGCGCCGAAAAATAATTTCAGGTCTGTCCTCAGCGACCAAAACTTAAGTCTGTCAGAAGCCTCAAAAATTTCGAAAGACGAAGTTTGACCGTTTTTTAGTTTGTTTTTCGACGATAGCTCCACCACCACTGTACCGATTTTGAAAAACTGCAGAGTTTTTTCGTAATTTTCATAGCAGTAACCTAGGTTCAAAATTTCATCAAAATCCTGATAGTACTTTCAGAGTTATCATTTATTTAATCTTTTTCGTTAGTTATGAAATGGAAGTAATTATATTTATCAGCTACTATTGCATTGCAACAGGACATTATAGTGAAACAACTATAAGTACTTGGTAATTTATAATATACTAAAATACATATCCTTAGGCCAGCCATAACTCACCTGCGACACGAACAAAATAGCAATATGAAAAAAGTGTTGTTATGGCAGCCTATGCCTTGTATGAACATACATCATTATTAATAGTAGGTATTCAAAGCAAAATACTGTCCACATACCTCTACTTCACCACAATCACAACCAACAAATATATAATGTTTGTCGTTGCTACTGGTTCTAACCTGTGGGAGCGTTACGAACCATGCTTCCAACGTTGTAAGGCATTCCCCACATCGTGTGGGAGCGGTTTAACATGAATGACTTTTGTCACTATGTTTTTGCAGTGATATATGACACAGAAAGAACACCTGTCTACTCAGCACAATTCGACGAATGACATTTACCGCCATGCTTTTGCAGTAACATACGGCGGTGCTGTTGCGGTTACCTAGCTTCTAACATCACCTGTCGCTCATTGTCTATTTTTATTTGGTTGTTTTGAATAATTTTTTTAATAACAAAAATAAATTTTGCATTAGGAAAAACAATTCAAACACCTCACAAGTATATGAGACTGGGTTATTTCAAGAGTGATAAATAAAACAATATAATTAGGAAAGTAACTTTATTCTGGTAGATAAGGTAATGTGGGTATTTGTAATATACAAATGTCAACCAACTGCGCCAGAAAATTGATGAAGCAAAATTACTCAAAACTGTGTATTTTGAATTGCAACAGTATCGTTGGACCCGTCGATTTGTTTAGAATTCTTCATTGCATACGTCCCAACAGCGACCTTCTTCAGTACAACTGACACTTTCTTGACAAAATAGTCATTTGTCTTGCAACACTCTGAGATTGCGCGAAGCCATCATTGCAAGTTTTATGGCACCACGCAAAACCAGCACAGCCCAGGACGGCCTAGAGTAGGCATTACCGCTCCGAAGGTCGTCCAGCTTCCCAAAACGACAAGCGACCAAAAAGTTATGTCTCGTTTTTCAATTTACCAGATACGTCACCTTCGTTCAACCTTCCGAAAACACCAAAAGCCCTTAAAAAATGGCGTCAAGTAGATCGAGAAAAAAGTCGGTTACGTACAAGAGATATTTAACACATTAAGCCAGTCAAACACACACATGCAATTAGTCCGTAGACATTCTTTGTCTGCCCTACCGATAGTTACTGTTCATCTGGCAACGTTGTCCCTTTCTACATCCGCTCGGCATCGCTGCAGCTAGTTCTTTCGTTTTGTGCAAGGCCCGTGTATATGTGTTTTCCCTTCGTTACTGAGAGATGTCAGCCGGACCGGTTCGCCAGTAGCAGAGCATAAATAGCATGAGTACGCGAATCGAAAACATTTCTCATCAGTTTTAAAGACAAAATGTACGGGTAAATCTGTGATGTGTGAAATATGGCTAATAGGTGCATAGAATTACCATGGTCGAGAGCGTATAAATGTACTAAGATCAAAAAATATTCGCCCAGTGGAGTACGAACAAAATACGAAAGCCCACCCAAAACTGTTGTAACACACCGGTTAATTGTTATGCAATCTTAGACTAAAATGTATAAAATGAATTGTTTATGGATCTGAAACCTGAGAAATAATACTTCGACATTTAAAGGGAACCATGATGTTTGTCATGTGAGAAAAACCTTGATAAATAGCTCGTGGTCCATTACGTTGGAGAATATTAATTAGAAATTGGGTCACAGTCCGTAGAAGAACTAGAAAGACAATTGTTTGATATTATATGGGCTAATAACTTTACCATCCTTTTATAATCATTATCCTCATTGTGTAGTATTGGGACTTTCTCCCATTTTACATTATATCCTGTTTCTTACACATGTTCGGTTAGTGCTAGTTGTGAGGTGTCTCCCTTTGCCTTTTCGTTCTTCAATTCTACACAGGTCTTGATTCTTCACCGATGTAGCAAAACACAATAAAATAAGAGGAAGTTTCAATATTGTACAAGTAGGATGATAATTCCAAAAGGATGGTAAAGGAATCAGCCTATATAAAATTAAACAACAATTGTCTTTCTAGTTCTGTGGACTGCGACCCAATTTGAATGAAAAATCTAACTGGTATTCTCCGACCTAACTAATGGACCATGGGGTTTTATCCAGGTTTTTTTTTCTCATAGTTTGTTGTTGAATCTCAAACGCGCAGATGTTTTACTTTGCCTTCTCAAAGTCACACTGTTGTGTTAAATTATTTTCTCACAGGACAAACAAGATGGTTTAATTTAAATGTTCTCAGATCCATAAACAATGCATTTTCAACACTTTAGTCGAAAATTGCATAACAATAAACCGGCGTGTTACGACATCAGTTCAGGGTGGGTTTTCGTATTTTTAGAAGGGCTTTTGGCGTTTTCGGAACAATGGACGAGGGTGAAGTATCTGGTACATTAAAAACGCCAGATAATCTCACACTCACTTGTCGTTTTGGAGAGCTGGACGTCTCTTTGGGAGCAGGAATGCCCTGGTGGTCCTGGGCCATGCTGGCTCTACGCGGTGCCATCTTAAAGTTTAAAATGCTACCTTCGCGCTATCTCAGCATGCTGCAGGACCTTTCAGACCTATGTAGTAACACAGTATAGGAATGTGAAAATGAAACGAAAAAACAAAGGAAGCGTCACCAGGAAGACAGACAAATAACGTATCTATGTTGTCAAAAAAGTGTCAATTGTACTTAGGAACACAATACACTGTAAAGAACAATTTATCACCACATAACATGTGGTTTGATGGGTTAGTCAAACATGGGGGATTTTCAAGCGTACTATCGGGTATGGAATGAACACTTCGGTTTTATTTTCTAGAAAACAAGAGTAGTGTCGAGAACTTTCTATGGTGAGAGCGATACAGGGTGTCCTCAAAGTTGGACTTTACAGAGCGTATAGGTCAGGCAATAACAAGTAAGTTTTCATAAATACTATTTCGTATTCCGTCCATTGATGCCCCGGCACAACAAATATGCAGCGCGGCAAAGCGGCAGCCGCCTAAGCGTTGCAATAGCTATTGGCCTTTCTGCCATAAAACTACGAACAACTGCAGGTTTCGACATGACAGAACTCAGGCTCGAGGTATCGCCGGCACGCCGACGCCGGCAGTTATCGTATTCGGTGCATCATACATAGCGCGTGTTTATACGTTAGCATGTCGTCTACGGATACAGCAGATGAAACTGAGAATATTTCACCCAATGCTTCCTTCAGCCGTGCTTCCTCTTCAGTGATGTATCCTCCCAGAAAACGTGACAAGAAGGGACATTTGAATTTTCAGCAAAATAAATTGTCCTTAACGTTTATAGGAGCATCCTGAAATGAAAATTCATGATATTGAAAGACGTGTGGCGAACAAAACAGGGTTATGTCCTAAGACAATGTTTAACATTGTTAAATAATATAAAAAAAAAACAAAAAAATGTCACCACCACACATCAGGCTGTTGGATACAGTTGACAACTTTGATCGGAATGCCATTAGACGCAAAGTCCATCAATTTTTTGAAATGCAGGAACTTCCCACCATAGACCAAGTATTACAGGAGGTTAATACTGATGCAGACGTACCTACTTTCACAAGGACCACATTCTATAGTTTACTCAAAGAACTTCAGTTTGAGTATAGAAAACGGGGCAGAAATCTAGTATTTTGATGGACAGCCAAGAGATTATTTTATGGAGAAGAAATTATTTGAATTCGATAAAGAAATGCCGCGATCAGGGCAGGAAGATTCATTACTTGGATGAAACCTGGATAAACGCAGAACATACAAAACCTAAAGTATGGGCTGACTCTACAATTAAATCAGCAAGACAAGCCTTCTTAGAT